GCCCCCTGTGGTCCGGGAAGTGCAAGAGAGGGGCCAGGATCTCGAGGCTGTGGTCTGACCTCATGCCTGGACCTCTGGTGTCTCTGTGGGGCCAGTTTGGGGGTCTAGGCGGGGCGGAGTCTCGGCTCCCCTGGGGGCAGCAGAGCAGGTCTGTGTAAGCAACCTTGTGTGTGAGGGAGAGAAGGGAGGGGTAGCTCTAAAACCTGGACTCCTTGTGCGAGCAAACCCAGCACTGGAGCCACAGGACATGAGGGAGGTGAGGGGCCTGGTGGGCAAGGATGGGAGGGGCTGCTGCACAGAGGTTGTTTATGAACTGGCTACTCCCATGATGAGGACCCAAGGGGGTGGGGCAGGATGGATGGAAAGGAAAGTTGAGGACAGGGAGGGGTGACCAGAGGCCATTTCTGTCACCCACTGGCCTGGCACAGGAAGAGGCAGCCTCCCCACTTCAGCCCCCTGTAGGTCCTGTCTCCTTGAAGATGCCTCTTGAGAGAAAGGATGGGGTAGCCCTCGGGTCCCAGGTCCCGTTGCTGATCTGTCCCTTGGACTCTGGTTGGCGCAATCTGCGGCTTGAGGAGAAGTGCCTGAGGCCTCACTTTGCCAGCTGATGGAGTCCTGTTCCATTGAAGGGTTGGCAGGATGCTGAGCGGAGAGCAGTGGTTGGGAGTGGCAGGAACCCATGGAAAAGGAGGCCTGCGGCAGCGAGGGGAAGGGGGGGTAAATTTCTGGGTGGGCTTTCTGTCCTCAGGGACATATGTGAAGGTCTGAAACCCAGCAACACCACCCACCCCCAGTGTTCTGGGGGGGCATAAGTACTCAACCTAAATGCCCTCACCCCAGAAAGAAATCCTCAGAGGATTCTCTCCATCAGGCAAAAAGTCCTAGGCCTTTGTGAGCCTGGGGAGCATTCTGAGATGGGGGGGTCTTTGCTTGTGAGTCCTGACCCAGCCACACTCTGTCCTAGCCCCCTGTGACTGATAGGTCATGCCTATTGAGTGGAAGTCAGGGCTAGGGATCAAGGGAAGCTGAAGATTAGAGGTTAGTAATGAGGTCAAGGGTTAAGGATCAGTTCATCGGCAGTTCGGGGTCAGTCCACGAGCAATGTTAGGGGTCAGTCCATGGGCAGGATTAGGGAGGTCTGCTATGGGAAGGATGTGGGTCAAGCTGAGGTCAGCGTTTGGCATGTGCTTGTCGCCAGGAAACTGAGTTACTTTTTGTGTAAATCAGACTTTCTCACCCAGTTCTCTCAAACCCATAAGCATCACCAGCGGTGAATTAAGTAAACCCCTGGACTCTGCCCAGACCTAGCTTTTGGGGGCTGACGTTATCCTGAGCCTCATGGTCAGCATTCTCCTTGAACATCTGTGGGTGTGTGTGCGTTGGTGGGGGGCGACCCGAAGACATGTTGGGCACGTGTGCATGTTTGTGTGACTCCCACCCCCTTCTACCTCCTCCTCTCAAGGAATTAGCAAGATCCTTCTTCTTTAACACAAACTGATTCAGGTCCTACCTCCCTCCCTAAAGAGCTCAGGATAACTAGAATGAAAGGCTCAATAAGACCAAAAACTTCCAACAAGAAACGATTCAAGATTCATAGCGTGAAGAGAAAGAACGCTGCTCACGTCTGTCCAACTCCCTGTCTTTATCAACCATCTTCCATACCGGGGCTGGTTGGTCCGCATAAGCCCCCATGTGATCCATTTTAAAGGAAAGGGCACTGAGGCACACAGTGATGACATGATGCACTCAAGCCAGATGCCATAACAGGCCTTTGCCATCTCTGAGGCCCCAATGTAGGGGCATTCAGTGGTCACATGCCCAGATATGGCACACGGTTTCGACATGGAATCCAGCTCAGAGTGACAACTCCAAAGTCTTTTTTTCTCACACTTGTAGACTGTTTCTCATCCAGGTACAATAGCCTTGGTCCAGAAAACCCACTCATTCATTCAACAAAGTATTTCCCCCATCACTTAGCACAGAGCCTGGCACAAACAAATTCTCAATAAGTGCTAAATAATTGAAACAACATACAAATAGGGCTGCCAGCTTCTCCCTGGTGGCCTCAATCCAGTGCTATGCTGGTAAATGTTTTGCAATCAACACCTCGGAAGGGAAAACAGCCTGATTTGTAGTGTTTGCCAATTTCCATGGTGTAAATACTCCCACCACGCGAAATTTCAAGCTAACAATGTGATGTCACTGAGTGCAGAATTGGGAAGAAATGCACAGAATTGGCTCTCATAAGCCTTTGGGTTCCTGTCCCTGGCTCCCGAGGTCCATCCCTACCACCTCTATTGGCTTTCCCTTTTCTCAGCATCATCCAACTGCTATATGAGTTGCCATAATGAGGCTCCATCTTACCCAGGATTCTTATTTCTGGGTATCCAACTGTGTATCTCCAATGACAACAGGACTGCATGTGTCTGGAAATTTCCATGGTGCTGATCATGCAGGGGCATCCTGGACATACAAGAGTGTATGGGAGTCTGGGTGTCTGTTCACCATGGGGTTGGTTTTGTGTGAACTGTGCCCAGATTTGTCTCTGTCTATGTTCTGTTTGCAAAATTCCCTGATCAGGCCACTGGCTACAGAGAGGGAGTGGGCAGCCCACACCTCTGCTCAGGGGGGCAGCCAGTCCCACAGCTGAGATCAATAACATCAGCGATCTGAAGATCAGCCCAATGTATACAGTTGAGCAGCACTTCCAAATTTTAATCTATACACCTGAATCACTCAGGGATCTTGTTAATATGCAAATTCTGATTCAGGTCAGGGATGCAGCATTTCTAACAAGCTCCCAGATGATACTGATGCTGCCGATCCTGAGACCACACTTTGATAACAAAGCTGTTGACGGCTTAGGGGATGCTGCCTATAGCCTGGTTCTCAGAACTTCCCAGACACAAGTTCAAGTTCTTGCTGTCTTAGAAAATAAAATACAAACCCTTCCTCACTTCCCTCAAGCTTTACTCCCCGCCATCTACTGCCCTTACATCTGCTCCTGATCTCAGCCAAGTTTCTCAGAAGTGCTAGCTCCATTCTCTCACCTCCTGCTCACTCCTCACCCACCTGCCACCCCATCTCCTCCATTCCACAGAAGTGCCTACCTTGGGCCACTAAAACAACAGGTGCCTCCAGTCTTATCTAACTTGACCTGTCAGAAAGACACATAACTTCACACCATTCTCTTATCTTGACCTTCATGAAGCCTCAGGAGTCATCTTAATCTCATTGGCCAGTCCATCTTCCTTTATTCAGCCTTTATGCATAGGTTCTGCTCACCTCCCTTCCCCCACTTTTCTCTCTCCCCAGCCTCCCATGACAGTAACTCCCAAATACACATCTCCAGCTTGGATTTTCCCATGACCTCCAGATCATATGTCATCTGGCTACTTGGTATGTTCTCTTTGCACTGTCAAAGCCACACCCAAAACTCTGCCCCTTTCTCCTGCCAACCTGCCCCTTCTCCATCTCACCATCCACCTTGTAGCTTGAGCTAGACAATGTCACCTTTGACAACTTCTTCTTCCTAACCCCCGTCTTAGTCATCTAGTGCTGCTATAACAGAAATACCACAAGTGGATGGCTTTAACAAAGAGGAATTTATTCTCTCACAGTCTAGGAGGCTAGAAGTCCAAATTCAGGGTGCCAGCTTCTGGGGAAGGCTTTCTTTCTCTGTCTGTGTTGGAGGAAGGTCCTTGTCATCAATCTTCCCGGGTCAAGGAGCGTCCCAGTGCAGGGGCCCTGGATCCAAAGGATGCACTATTCTCCTGGCTCTTGTTTTTTAGTGGTGTGAGGTCCCCCTGTCTCTCTGCTTGCTTCTCTCTTTTATATCTCGAAAGAGATTGGCTTAAAACACAACCTAATCTTGTAGATTGAGTCCTGCCTCATTAACGTAACTGCCTCTAATCCTGCCTCATTAACATCATAGAGGTAGGATCCACAATACATAGGATAATCACATCAGATGCCAAAGTGGTGGATAATCACACAATACTGGGAATCATGGCCTAGCCAAGTTGACACATATTCTGGGGGGACACAATTCAATCCATGACACCCCCCATACCAAATCCAGCCATCTTTCATCAGCCCTGTTGATGTTAACTTCTGACTATCTCTTAGATGACTCTGAGGCAATGGTGGTTCAGTGGTAGAATTCTCACCTTCCATGCAGCAGACTCAGGTTGGATTTCTGCCCAGTGCACCTCATGTACAGCTACCACCCTTCTGTCAGTGGAAGCCTGGGTGTTGCTACGATGCTGAACAAGTTTCAGCAGAGCTTCCAGACTGAGGCAAACTAAGAAGAAAGGCCCGGTGATCTATTTCCAAAAATCAGCCCAGGACCGGGCAGTGTTTCGTTCATTACGCATTGATGATTGCAGTGGCCTGACTGGGGCCCCTGTTTCCATATTGCTCCCCTGCAGTCCTCTCCCAGTGCACATTTAGTCATGCCCTCATCACCATTCTGCCACTTAAACCCTTTCAAGATTTTCTATGACCCTTCCTATAAAACCAAATCTAAAGTAGGCTCCCAAGGGCCTGCCTGCAGGGTTGTGCCCAGCCCGCACTTTCCTGCAGCCATACCTCGGGCCAGGCTCTCCTCTGCCCCACTTGCATCCCACTATGCCCTTCCCCTCCATGACCCTCAATATCGTTTGTGATCTTAAATTCACTCTTGTGGTTATCTGGTTACAACTGGCCTCCCCTGCCAGGCTGTGTCTCTCTGAGGGGGCCGAGCATTCAGTGACACGATGGAGTTAGTGTTAATTTTGTTAGACATGATAGTGCTGTTGTGGTAATTTTTTTTTTTTTTTTTTAAGTCTTTATCTGTTGGAGATCCTATTGAAGAATTTATAGGTAAAGCAACATGGTATCTGGGATTTGCTTCTAAGGACTCCAGCCGAACGTAAATAAACATTCAGTGAGGGTACAAAGGAACAAATAAATACCGTCTGTTTGTCGGTTCCTGTTCACAGCCACAGGGGCCTGCAAGGATGCTGGCTGTCCCAGAGACGGGCCTGCAGGGGCTGTGTATTGGTAAGAACCTCCCCCTACCGCTCTGCCCACCCACCACCCCACTCACCCGCCTGGCACTGAAACCCAACCACCAGTCTGTCCCATGGGCCTCTCCCATCAGGGGTCCTGAGAGTCATTCTGTGAGTGTGTGCATGCAGGGAGGTTCTGTGTGCACAGGACTGGGTATGTGAATGTGTGTATGTGGGTGTACGTGCTCAAGGCAGGTCTGTGTTTGTGTATGTGTGTTTGCGCAGGGCAGGTCTGTGTTACCCCCTGCGTGGGTATGAGTGGGTGTGTCTGCAGTCTGTGTGCACAGGACTGTGTATGTGAGTGTGGGTATACGTGTATATATGCACAGGGCAGGTTTGTGTTCACAGGACCCCCGTGTGTGTGTGTGTACATGCATGTGTGTGTGCAGGGAGAGTGTACGTGCACAGGACTGGGTATGTGAATGTATGTGTGTGTGTACGTGCTCAGGGTGGGTCTGTGTTCACAAAACTCCCTGTATGTAAGTGTGTGTGTACGTGTGTGTGCAGAGAGGATTTGCATGCACAGGACTGTGTGTGTGTGTGGAGGTGTGTTTTGTGCAGGGTCTGTGTGTAGAGGACCTTGTGTGAGTATGTGTATATGTGTGTGTGCATCTGTTTGTCTATCTGCCTGCAGGTAGGTCTCTGTGCACAGAGCCTTGTGTGAGAGTGTGTATATCCGCAGGTGGGTCTGTGTGCAAAGAATTCTGTGTGAGTGCATGCACGTCTGCCTGTGCCTGGTCTGGGAGCAGGCTCTGGATTCTCTGCAGGAGTGGGAGGCAGGAGAGACACTCCTCAGGAAGTCCACTCACAAAGACCTGGTGGGCTGGGCCTTTCCTTCCTGCCTGCTTTCCCAGGCTCAAACCACAGCAACTTGGCCCCTCAAGCTGGAGCTGGTGGCAGGGCCCGAGCCTGTGAGGCTGCCTGAGGAAGGGGTGCCCTTGGAATGTGACCACCATGCCCCTGCCCCTCTGGCACTTCAAGACAGACTCCAGCCCTGTCCAGGCACTTCCCAGAGTCCCCCTTGTGCCTGGCCCCTGACATATGTCCCCAGGGCACCCCAAGGCCAGTGAGGGCTGGGACCTGTCTAGGACCACAAAGCAGGGCTGCGGCTGAGAGAGCACAGGCCCCGGCTTAGCCTGGAGCCAGACAGCCTGCTTGATTTGTCCACAGACCGTCATGCCAGACCGTACTCAGCCTCCCTGGACAGCCTCTGAGGCCCCTCCACAGACCTCTGCACAGCGCCAGAGCACCTCGCATGGGCTGTAGCAAAGCCCAATGGGATGGTGACTGGCCGCCAGCCCACATCTGGGAGACGTCCAGCCAGCCTCCGGCCTCTTGACCCACCGGGTCCTCCAAGCCAGGCCTGAGGCTGCCTTCCAGAGGCTGCTCGATGTCCCTCCCACAAAAGGTTCAACCCAGTCCTGGGCCTGCGAGAGGGTCTCAGTGGGGCAGGAGGCTGAGCCAAATGCTGGCTGGAGGCAGGGGCAGATTAACTAGTAAGCAAGGTATGTACCAGCTTACATTAAGCAAGGTACGCACAGGCTTACTTGTGTTTACTTACTAATCTGTAGTGAACAATTTCACATGGGGGCGATGTGGTGAAAAACAGGTGAAATCGTTCATTATGGATTAGTAAGTACGCACAAGTAAGCCCCTGTGTACCTTGCTTATTGGGTAATCCATCCCTGGCTCGAGGGGAGTGTTTGTGGGGGCAGGGGCATCAGACTTCCTAGCTTTGTGGACAACCCCCAGCTCAGGGCTGGGGAAGGAGAGGTGCTGCCCTCCCCCTCTTCATCCTCCCCAAGCAGCCAGCTGGACTTGTCTGTGGCCTTTGCAAGGAGGCGGGAAGGGGGTGGCTCCCTCAAGTCCTGATTAGAACCATGTGGCCAGACTTTAGTGGAGAAGGGAGTAGCCCCATCTCTGCCCCAACAGTCCCACCCCCGACCCAGTTGGGTCTGTAGTTCTGCCACCTTTTCTGGCTTCTCCACCCTCCACCACCCCCACCCCCAGGGGATCACCTGCCCCATCTCTCCTGCCCTTCCATCTCTGAACTCAGTCTCCCCCATCACAGTGCTTCTCTGTCTCTCTCTCCCCTACCCTATGTGTCTGAGGGGTGCTAGGAGACATTGAGGCCCCCAGGTGGAGCTTGGGTCACCCGCCAGAGATGGGCTGTCTCTAACTGATAATAGGCCCCAACCCCATTTATGAAACCCACAGCCAACCAGGCACTTCCCTGGCAAAGCCTCTAATTCCTCCCCCACAAAAAACTTTGCCCAGCAGGGTTGTCAGCACCTTTATGGGGCCAACACTCAAGCCTGGGTCTAGGGTCCTACCCCTGTCCCCCATCATGTCCTACCCTCCCCCTTTAGTCCCTCCCTCAGCAGGGCACCCCTTGCCTTGGCCTAGCAGGGACTGATGGAGAACTTCCCAGTGTCAGGGCTGGATCAGGGCCACCAGCCCCCTGCCCTGATGGCACTAGGGTGACCTGCCCTTTCTTCTCTTTAGGCTCCAGCCCAGAACGGTCTCCAGTGCCCAGCCCGCCTGGCTCCCCAAGGACCCAGGATACCTGCGGCATTGCCCCCCTCACACCATCACAGTCTCCAGTAAGCCTTCAAGGGATTGGGTGGTGGGTGGCCGGGGGCAGGGTGCGGCTAGAAGGGGGCTGTGCCTCCAGAGAGCAAGGCCTGGTGCCTGGCAGAGCCCTGGCAAGACCTGGGCGGGGAAGGAGGAGGGGCTGGGGGGGGGCACCATGCCTTCTGTCTCTGAACATTCCAGCCATGGTCCCTCCAGCAGGGGTGGCCTTAGACTGTAGGAGTAACAATTCTACTGAGAAGGTGAGCCCAGATGACACCCGGGGCCATTGCAGCCTGCCTGGCTGGGGCAGGTGTACCTCTGAGCATGAGATGTTTCTAGATCCCCAGAGCAGTAGGACTCCCAGAATACCCCCCACCCCACCCCCATCAACCATCCAAAAAACCCAAACCCATTGCCATCGAGTCGATTCTGACTTATAGCGACCGTATAGGACAGAGTAGAACTGCCCCATAGAGTTTCCAAGGAGTTCCTGGTGCATTCAAACTGCTGACCTTTTGGTTAGCAGACGTAGCTCTTAACCACTACGCCACCAGGGTTTCCCCCGTCAGTCACACCCCATCTTAATCCCAGGGAGAGGGGAGACAATATTGATAAAAAATAGTTTGGAAACTACTTGCTAGAGGTATCCAGGATGCAACTCGCTCAAGCTCTGAGTCACCCCATCCTGGATAGCATCACCCTGGTGATCCAGCTTGGGGACTGTCTGTTCTCAGGGAGCCCAAGCCTGGCCTGGGAGAAGGCAGGGGCTACTCTAGGCATGGGCACGGGCATCTCCTCTCTACCACAAAATTGTCCAGAGTCTGGTTTGTGTCACTGTGGCCACAACAGCAAGGGGGTGAAATCTACACAGGCCCATGAGCTATAAAGCTGCCCAGAGGAGGAAAATTGCTCCCAGCTGGGCCCAGGCTGGTGGCAGGCAGGAAGATGGTGGGAGAGGGGGGTGGTATGAAGGCAGTCCAGGCAGGAGCTAGATGGGAGAGTGAGCAGAGAAGTGGAGGCAGGAAAGCAGGAGCGTGAGCCAAAAACTACACAGGGCTATCTGAGAGCCCTTGGGGCTATCTGAGCATTTGGCGTTTCCAGGGCTCAGCCTGGAGCCGGGGAGGGGAGGGGGCCCAGGCAGGTGGGGGTGGGCCAGGGCTGGGCTGGGCCCAGTCGGCAGAGAGGAGGGGCTGCCAAGGGCAGTCAGCCCAGCCCTGCTGGCTGCTTGCTGACTCCAGATCCTGCCCTTGCAGAAGCCCGATGCCCGAGCCCCACAGCAGGCCCTCTTCTCTGTGGTGGTGGCCATCGACTTTGGCACCACATCCAGTGGCTATGCCTTCAGTTTTGCCAGTGACCCTGAGGCCATCCACATGATGAGGTGAGGGTGGCTGGGCTGGCAAATTGGGGAGGGGGGCAGGGTGGGCCTGGCCCAGAAATACTGTCACTGAGTAGACATGAGGTCTCCTTAGAGCCCCTTGCACTCCAAGCCCGGGGATCCTTGACTCGTTTGGAGCAGCTCCCTACCCTCTGCAGGAAATGTCAGGCTTTGTTTTTAATTTTAAACATTACCGAGATATAGTAAACATACAGTACAATACACAAATCTTTTTCTGGGCTTATACAAACACACACACACATATATGCATATACTTTTTTTTTTAATGAAAGTGGGATAGCATACAATTTGCTTTATTTTAAACTTTCAACAGTATTTTGTAGCTGTTTCGTGTCAGTACATACAGAGCTACCACTTTCTTTATCAGCTGCATAGTATTCCATAGTACAGATGTGTCAAAATTTAGCCAGTCCCCTACCGATAGTTTTAGGGGTTTTTTTCCCTTTCATTTTTTACGATTACAAAAAGTGCTGCAGTGAATATCCTTCTTTGAAAATTTGTGCTAAGATTTCTGTAGGATAGACTCCTAGAGGTGGATCCTTGGGTCAACATCTCAAACGACATCTCAGACAAACCCAAACACCTTTCGAGAATGTTTTTCTAGGTTTGAAGGCTTAGGACCTTAGTCTCATGGGAGAACTCAGTCAATTGGCACCACAAAGTTCATGTTCTGCATCCTAGTGAGGTGAGTACTATCTGGGGTCTTAAAAGCTTGCGAACAGCCATCTAAGATACAACTATTGGTCTCTACTCATCCAGAGCAAAAGAGAAAGAAGGAAACCAAAGTCTCAGAGAAGAAACTAGTCTACAGGGCTAATGGCCTACACAAGTCACAGCCTCATCGACCCTAGATTGTGCCTGGCTAACACTACCCACCATTCTGATCAAGGCCACAACAGATGGACCCTGATAGAATGGGAGAAAAATGTGGAACAGAACTCAAATTCTTAAAAAGTCCAGACTTACTGGACCAGTTGAGACTAGAGGACTCTCTGAGACTATCACCCTGAGATACTCTTTAAACCTTGAACCGAAACTATCCCCTGAAGTCACCTGTTAGTGAAATAATAGATTGGCACACAAAATAAAGGATATTACACATGAGTACGGTGTTCCAGTAAAAAACCATCTATATGAGACCAAAAGGTCAATAATCACTCTAAAGCAAAGATGAGAACATAAGGGGACAGGGAAACCAGAGTACTGGAAATGGAACAACCAGAACGCAATTAAAGAAAATGTTGACAGATTGTGAAAAATGTAATTAATATCACTGAACAATTTATGTAGAAATTGTCAAATGGGAACCTAATTTGCTGTGTAAACTTTCACTGAAAACACATTATTTTAAAAAAATATCTCAAATGAAAAGCAAGGAAATGAAGGTCCACGGATTAACCGAGTTGACAAGTCACCCATAGTTTTCATGAAAGAGATGTTTAAAAAATCCATTCTGATGTTGCTGGGCTTTGTTTGAACACTGCCCTAGGAGGCCTGACCCTTTGAATGTGTCTTAGGTGGGGCTGCAGCCAGTGGGTAGAGCTATAGCAGAAGACCCCAGATCTTCCAACCCAGACCAAGATGGGGGTTATAGGCAAATTTTCCAAGGGCCTGAGAGACTGGATGGAAGGATAGATGGAGAGATGGATGACTTGAGCTGCATGAGCCTAGGCTTCCCTTCCTTTTTCTTTACTCGCTCCACATCCACAGGTGGCCACAAAGGCTCTGGGCACTTACAGTCCTCTAGGAGCTGCAGGGCATCCTAGCCGGCACACACTTTTCAGCATAGGTGGCTGAGCACTACTTAGTACTCAGCCCTGTGCTGGGGCCAAGGAATACCCAACCACTTCTCTCCATGGCCACCACCCCTGCCTTAGTTCAGTCCCCACCCTTTCTCTCATCTAAACAGTTGCAGCATCCTCCCCCGCCCTGCCCCAGTTTACCTTCTCCATCCTCCTTTGCCTCTAATCTTGCTACATGGGGACCAGTAACCTTTCTAAAGGCATCCGATCATTCCCCTACTTAAAATACACCAAGATAGACTTCTGCTATGGCATCCAATGCTCTTCCTTACCTGACCTTATCATCCCTGTGTTTTTTTCTGCTGCCTGTTGAGCCAGCTTACAGATAGTTCCCCCAGCTCTTTCACACATGCTGTTTCCTCTGCCTGTATTCCCTGCTCTTTCATCAAAAGGCTGCTGCAGTGAGATTGGACCTCGAGCTTGGCCTGGAGAGGTCAGGCATCAGAAGAGGAGGAGGAAAGGGAGGAAGGACTTGCCAGGCTAACAAACTAGGCAGGGAGTTCTGGGTAGAGACCTGGATGGCGCCTGCAGACAGGGAGGTTTGGAATCTCATTTAGGTTTTCGGGGCCTGCCAGAGGTGTGTGGATGGGAATGGTCCTGAAAGGCCTAGAAGGAGCTGGGCTGTGGAAAACCGCCTGGAGGCGGCAAACCTGCTGGCAAGGAGAACGCTCCCGCTAGGGTCCCCAGAGAGGCACATGAGGCGGCTGGACTGGGGAAGGCGGATGATGGTTTGCTGCTGCTGCTGCTGAGGGTGCAGACAGGCGACGCCAGTTGATGCACTTCATGGGACAGGGCAGAAGCTGAGGATATCAGGTGGGACCTGTGGCCCCATGGATGGGGAGGATCCCATGGGCATCATTTATGGGGATATAAGTGGGTGCCAGACACCGTGTTCCTATATTTGCTCTTCACAAGAACCCTCAGAGGTAGGTACCATTATTATTCCCATTTTACAGATGGGAAGATTGAAGCTCAGGGAGGCTAAGTAACCTGCCCAAGATCACACAGCTGGCCCCAAAGCTAGCCCCCCTCCTACCTCCTGAAGGGAGGGTTGCGGCCAATTCCGCTGATCTACCGCCCTAAACCTCCGCAGGAAATGGGAGGGCGGAGACCCAGGCGTAGCCCACCAAAAGACCCCGACCTCCCTGCTGCTGACCCCGGAGGGCGCCTTTCACAGCTTTGGCTACACAGCCCGCGACTACTACCACGATCTGGACCCCGAGGAGGCTCGGGACTGGCTCTACTTCGAAAAGTTCAAGATGAAGATCCACAGCGCCACTGTGAGTTACTTTCCGGTTCGTGGCAGGGCTCCAGCCAGGGAGGCGGGGCCACGAGGGGAAAGAGCGGGGCCAGTGGAGGGTGGAGCAAAACTAAAAGGTGTGAAGGGATCTGCGGAAGGCGTAGCAGCGGGGGGGCGGGGCTAAAAGAAGAAGAATAGAGTGTGGGCGGGACTCAGACGTGAGAAGGAGCGAGGGCGGAGCTAAGACGTGACGATAGCGTTAGAGGAGAGGCGGGACTAAGAAGGGACTTGAGGTGGGAACTGAGTTTATGTGAAATTGAGACCAGAGTGGGAGTTGGTCCTAAAAAGCAGGAAAGCACTAGGAAATAGGGTGATTTTAAGAGAAAGATCTTTAGGAAATGGGGGCAGAGCTAAGACTCCCCCCCTGCAGAGCCACCCTGTATTCCTGCCAGGATCTCACTTTGAAGACTCAGCTAGAGGCTGTAAATGGAAAGAAAATGCCCGCCCTGGAGGTGTTCGCCCATGCCCTGCGATTCTTCAAGGAGCACGCCCTTCAGGTGCGTTGCGCCTCCACACCTGCTGGCCTGGGGTGGGACACTCCCCAGCCCCCTCTACTCCCTTCCTTTCCCCACACCCACTGCTGCCCTCATCCCACCCTGTCCACCCCACTGGTATCCACCGCCAGAGACCGTTTTTCTCCAGTTCTCTGCCTTTCAGTCTGTAGAGCCCGCAACAGGCCATACAGGTGTGTGTGGGGGGAGAGGGTAGCGATTCTGAGTCCTTCCTGAAGTTGGATTAGTTCCTCCAGCTCCCAAACAGGACTGATCCGCTCCCTCTACCCCAGCCATTCGCCCCCCTCACTCCTTCCTCCTCCTCCAGGAGCTGAGGGAGCAGTGCCCATCGATGCCAGAGAAGGACACTGTGCGCTGGGTGTTGACGGTGCCCGCCATCTGGAAGCAGCCAGCCAAGCAGTTCATGCGGGAGGCTGCCTACCTGGTGAGGACATGCAGGCAGAGCAGAGAGCATTGCTCAGGAGAGCCCTAGAGATGACCCATACCCCCCACCCCCTCTGCCACCTTTAGGACCATAGAGTCACTGTGTAAAGATCTCCAGACTCCCCCTGCTGGGAATTTTGGGAGTTGTTGCCACCAGGACAGGGAGTGGACCTGCAGGACCAGAGCGCAGATTAGCATGGGGAACAGCACAGCGCAGCTTAACTAGTGTCATAAATAAGGTTCCCTAGAAGCAAAGCAGCTTTCAGCAGTAGATTGGGATTCTTGTGCGTGTGGTCTATTGAAGAAGTGCTCTCAGGAGAAAGAGGAGGGAGGGAAGCAGGACAGGACCATGAACCAGAAGGAAGGATGTGGTCTCATCTGGAATCTAACCTCAGTCTGATCCCATGGGGAGCTCTGGAGCAAGAATTGTACCATAGCATTGGCCATGGTAGGGCAAGAGGGCTGGCTTTTTGTGGTCCGTATCAATCTGTCATTGGTTGCTGGAGAAGAGGGAGGGAAACCTCTCCTAGTGAGGTGGTTCCCATTCAGCTGAGGGCAGAGAAGGGGACAGCTGCGTGCTGATAGCAACCAACACTCACAGTAGCTGGGCAGGGCACCAAGAACATCTCCTTCAGCCAGCACCAGTATTTTCAGGGAACCCCTTCATTGTAGGTTCTTGAGCTGGGGAAACAGGGCTGTGAAACTATGAAGGGAGGTGATTCTGGCCAGCATTTGCTGGTCTTCCTACCACAAGAAATGCCCAAAAGTCTGTGGGTTGGGGGGAGTGGGTGGCCCAGGCTCTCCCCACCCCAGGCCAGAGGAGGGACACGGCCTCCCAGAGCAAGACTCATTGCTTGGTCCTGCCCCTGTGGCCTTGGGAGACAGACCCTAGGACCTCCAAAAGAGAGCTCAGGCCTGCCTATGGACGCCCCCTGGAGGATACCAGGACCCCCAACAGCCCCCCCACACACCTGTGGGCCAGGCATGTCCCATAAACCAGGTCGGCACGTACCTGTCCTTGTCACTGGAAGGAGCTAACTCAGAACCCACGGGGACCCGGATGAAAGCAAGATTGCCCCTAGCCAGAACAAACACCCCCCACCCCACTGCCTCCCTGCCTGTCTACCCACCCTGCTTCCTCCCACACTGTTCCCTGCTGCCTGCTCAGGAAGGGCTGGTCCTGAGCAGGAAGTTTTGATACCCACCCACACCCATCCCCCACCTGGTCAGAATCTGGGGAATCCCACAAAACCATAAAAGTACTTCCCCTGGGGATCTCCACACCCCAGATTCCAAGTAGTCTTCTCCCTCAACCTGGCCTGTCTTGGTTTGTGGATTTCCACCATTAGAGTTTTCTTCCTTCTACACCAGACTTCCTAGAGTTCTCCTGGGAGAGGGAAGGCCTGTGGCCACTGTCCAACACCAGCCTGGTGGAGGAAGAGGGTTTTGTAAGCCAAAGGGGGCCCCCCACATCTCTGATTGAGATTATACCCCCCACCCTGACCAGCCTTGCACCAATAAAGGGGACCCTGCTGCAGCCCTGCCTCCTTGGCAACTCAGAGTGGCAGATCCAGGCGTTCTAGTCCACACTCTGGGGTCTCTCCTGGGGACTATCCTGAGGCTTCCTAGGCCACAGCATGGTCACAGGGTGGGTGTGAGGCAACGCTAAATGTACGCAGCATAGGGGGCCTGGGAGGCCTAGCCTGGATGAGGTAGGGTGTGGAGAGGGTGGGAGCCACACAGGCCCTGGACCCCCACCCTGGGGTGCCATCTTAGAGGTGACAGCCCATGGCGCTGCCCAGCCCTGCCCGCCACCCATCCCCAGGCCGGCCTGGTGTCCCGAGAGAATGCAGAGCAGCTACTCATCGCACTGGAGCCCGAGGCTGCCTCTGTCTACTGTCGAAAGCTGCGTCTGCACCAGCTTGTGGACCTGAGCAGCTGGGCCCCCGGCGGTGGGCGCCTGGGGGAGCGCCGCTCCATCGACTCCAGCTTCCGGCAGGGTGAGCTCTCCCCTGGGGCACTGTCCAGTGCTGGGCTTGGAGGTGGTCACCTTTGGAGGGTCAGAGGATCGCTGAGGCTGGAGGCACAGCCATGTCCACCATGAAGGGGTGAGGCCCCCATCCTGGGGGAGCCCAATCTGAGGGGTTAGAAACACCCCTGAGGGAGTCTAGTCTGAGTGGGGGAGACAAAGCCCTGCCCAGGGGAACCCAGTCTGAGGAAGAGACACATCCCTGAGGAAGCCCAGTCTTGGGGGGAAGACAGCCCTGACATGCGGGAGCCCAGTCTGAGAAGAGGTTTCACCTTGCTCTTGGGGAGCACGATCTGAGGGGGTAGGACTTAGCCCAGAGGGAGCGCAGTCTGAGGCTATGAGGGAGACAGAGTCTGCCCTGAGGGAACATGCTCTGGTATGGACAAAGCACCCACTCTGAGCTGAAGGGACAGGTCTTCAGGAACCCTTCTCAGTTCATTTCCTCAAATAGCCATGGCACCATCTGCGCCGCTTTGTCACCTCCCCCCTCACACACATACATTAGCCCCGGTTCCAGCCTTCAGGTCCAGGTGCTGAGGCCAAGGACAGCTGTGGTCAACCTTAGCCACCTTCCCAGATAACCATCTCCTGTGACAGGGAGCTCCCCTGGGACCTTCCAGGGCCTGTGTCCCGCTCCCCAACTGAGCTCCTCCAAACCCTCCTAACCCTGATTTTGCCCTGACCTGAGTCCTGAAGGTTAGGGGAAGGCTGTGGTCAGAAATACTCCCCCCGCCCGGCTGGTGGTTACAGTGCCTGAGGTTACCCCAGTGGGTTTCTGTGGACCCTTTGGGGTTCAACACTGCTGTGTCTCAGTCAGTGGTGGGGCAGGGGTTTCAGGAGCACTGGCTGCTCCAGGTGCTCACAGGGGGCCCTAGCGGGTGGACGAGAATTGAATGCGGTGGCTGGGGCACCTCCTTCTCATCTCACTCTCCCGCCCCACAGCCCGAGAGCAGCTGCGAAGGTCCCGCCACAGCCGCACATTCCTGGTGGAGTCGGGCGTCGGAGAGCTGTGGGCAGAGTTGCAAGCAGGTGGGTGGAGAGAGGGATGGAGATAGTTCCTTGCTCCTGGAGCAACCCGTATCTACGGATGGGGCGGGGCAGAGACATTCGCGAAGCCCTGCCGCTTCCTCCCTCCCGTGTACCTAATCTAGCAACCCCACAGTCACCTGCACCCCACTGCACCCACGGCCACACTCCTAACTCCACTCCTCCGGGTGATTCTCCCTGGACACTCGGAGGGAATTGCAGAGCCCCTGGAGCTGTTTTTTCCCCAATCCTGCACCCCTTTCCCAATGACCTGAGGTTCAAGCAGCTGAAATTCCTTCTGCCTTCCCCCCATCCCCTGCCCCTCCGCAGGCAGGACTTCGGGGCCTGGGCAGGGTTGGATGCCGGGTGAGGCTTAAGGGCGCTCCGGACTGAGGGGGCGAGTATCCACGAGTAGGTGCCTGTGCTTGCCGCCACAGGAGACCGCTACATGGTGGCAGATTGTGGGGGAGGCACCGTGGACCTGACTGTGCACCAGCTGGAGCAGCCTTATGGCACTCTCAAGGAACTCTACAAGGCATCTGGTGAGTAGCCAGGCAGTGCCCTTGATACCCAACGCTCCCTCACCCAGGCCCGGCTAACGCCCCCTGGCGGCCAGGTCGGCGCTGACGCCCCCTCCGTCCCCTGCCCCACACCAGGCGGCCCCTATGGTGCGGTGGGCGTGGACCTGGCCTTTGAGCAGCTGCTGGGCCGCATCTTTGGCGAGGACTTCATCAACACTTTCAAAAGGGAACGGCCTGCAGCCTGGGTGGATTTAACCATCGCCTTCGAGGCCCGTAAACGCACAGCGGGTCCGCACCGTGCTGGCGCACTCAACATCTCCCTGCCCTTCTCCTTCATCGACTTCTACCGCAAGCAGCGAGGCCACAATGTGGAGACGGCCCTGCGCAGGAGCAGGTGTGCCTGGGGACCGCAGGCTGGGGCAGGGTTTGCCAATGGGCAACAGCCCACCCGCCCCGCAAGGGAGGGTCATAGGCACCTGTAGGCGGTGGGATTCACTTGATCCCCCTCTTCCCCCCCCCCCCACATCTTGCCATCTCCGGAGGCAGGGGGAGGGGTGTGAGTACACCAGTGGGGCAGGCTCCACCCCAGGATTCCGCAGCCCCAGCTGGGGCAGGAGGGAGGATCATGGGCACCTCCCCTCTAGAAAGGTCCGGCGTCTCTGCTCACACGCACCGCCATATCCACACGCACTGTGCCAGCTAGTGCCAAAGCCTCTGGGAGAGCGGGGTGGGGATAAGGATGAAGGTCCAGGTGATCACCCCTCACACACAACGTGTAGCCAGTGCCCAGGCGCATTTGCCTGGAGGCCGGACTAGGCCCGCCGACCTAAGCTGGGGCAGGCAACTGGACCAGCTTGTGCCCCCTTCACCACCCACAGCGTGAACTTCGTGAAGTGGTCCTCACAGGGGATGCTCCGGATGTCCTGCGAGGCCATGAACGAGCTCTTCCAACCCACTGTCAGCGGGATCATCCAGCACATCGGTGAGCACCTGAGCTCGGGTCCCCTATCTACCCCCACGTACACACCCCGATGTGGGAGTAATTCCCATCAGTGCCTGGAAGCCTCTACACACACATACACTGGAATGAGACCCAGCATCATCTGGAACACCTGGGGGACACACTGCTCGCGGTGAAGAGCTAGGAGAGATAATGTGTGGTTTTGCCAATTTAAAGAACCGCTGGCGCCTCAGTTTCCCTCCTGTAAAATGGGGTGGTAGTATTGGGTTCCCCAAAATGTTATCACAAAGATTAAGTGAGCTGAAGTATCTAGAGAGTGAGCACAATGTCTTGCACGTAGTAGGTGTTTCATACATGGAAATTTATATCCTTGCCCACGCCCTCCACATTGTGGTGGGAGACAAAGGGTGGAGTGTATTGGGGAGGCAGCGCCCATGAGGATTGCCAGGAGCCCCCAAGGAAAGCTCGCATTGTTTTCTCTTCGTTTTGTCCACCAGAACCCGGCTGTCGTTTCATAGTTGAAATGGCTAGTTTCTAGTTGACAGAAGGGTACATTCCCCTTCCCCGGGAAGCTGGACCAGTGCAGGGCGAGAGGGGGCGTCAGTGGTCGCGAGGTGGGGGCCTCAGCGCTTTCTCTCGTCTTCTTTTCCCTCCCTCTCCTCCCGGTCCCCCCGTCCTGCAGAGGCGCTGCTTGCGCAGCCAGAGGTGCAAGGCGTGAAACTGCTATTCCTGGTGGGCGGCTTCGCTGAGTCAGCAGTGCTGCAGCACGCAGTGCAGGCGGCGCTGGGCGCCCGCGGCCTGCGCGTTGTCGTCCCGCACGATGTGGGCCTCACCATCCTCAAGGGCGCCGTGCTCTTTGGGCAGTCGCCGGGTGTCGTGCGGGTGCGCCGCTCGCCGCTCACCTATGGCGTGGGCGTGCTGAACCGCTTCGTGGCCGGGCGCCACCCGCCCGACAAGCTGCTGGTTCGCGACGGCCGCCGCTGGTGCACCGACGTCTTTGAGCGCTTCGTGGCCGCCGAGCAGTCGGTGGCCCTGGGCGAGGAGGTGCGGCGCAGCTACTGCCCGGCACGCCCAGGCCAGCGACGCGTGCTTATCAACCTGTACTGCTGCGCCGCCGAGGACGCGCACTTCATCACCGATCCGGGAGTGCGCAAGTGCGGCGCGCTCAGCCTCGATCTCGAGCCCGCCGACTGCGGCCCGGACTCTGCCGGCGCGTCTCCTGGACGTCGCGAGATCCGCACCGCCATGCAGTTTGGCGACACCGAGATTAAGGTCACCGCCGTTGACGTCAGCACCAATCGCTCTGTGCGCGCGGCCATTGACTTTCTTTCTAACTGAGGGCGCGCAGGGCGCAGCGCCGCCCACCCTGTGCTTGGCCCCGTCTGACGCCCTCCTTTGGTCCTGGGGTCTGGGGAGCAGGCTGGGGCAGCCAAATCTGCTAGTTCTGATGTCAGCACCCCTTTCCCCACCCTCTGCCCAGGGGAGATGAGGTCACAGGAGGGTGGGAACACATCCAGAGACGCTACTTTGGGGTTGGGCCCTGGTCCGCTGACTGGAAGGCTGAAGCCCGGCTAAAATGTGGGGCAGGTAAAGGAGATTTAGTGGTTTCCAAGATGGCGCTCCCAGCCCGACAGGAAAGTGTGACCTGCCAGGGCGTGTGACCCCGAAAGCAGAAAGTACCAGAAGACTGAGCCCTGACCTGAACTGAGGGTGGATGGAAGGGTTGGGAGAGAGGTCAAGCACAGCAGGCTGCAGGGAGAGCAGCAGGAGGAAGGGGGTTCTTCACCTGGACACGAAGGGCCAGAGTTCACTGATGGAGTCAGCCCAGGCTGGAAGCCCCGCAGAGCAACCACGTGTGGGGTGGGAAAGTGACACTAGAGGGACAGGGTAGTAGGGCCTTCCTGGGGGTGGTACTGACCCAGGTATGACTGTTAATTGTAGAAAAGGTAGTAGCTGCCTAATGGGGGGAAGAACATATTATTAGGGTGAAGACAATTATGAGGGGATGTGGGAGTGTGCGCAAGGGGGCCTTTCCTTCAGGACAAATGACCCATATGGTAAGGCTTCAAGGGCCAGCCTGTGAATGACCTACTTGTACTCACCCAAAACATGGAAGGGCAGTTCAGGTGGGAATAGGGAAGACAGAAGGAGCACTAGGGGACTGGTCCCAGCTCTTCCATCAACTCAGTGTGGCATTAGGACATTCCCTGCCTACCCATGGGCCTCAGTTTCCCCAAGTGTGAAATGTTAGGTACCTCCCTCCAACTGTGACATGCAACAGCCCCACCTGCCTGAGAACCCTAAGGTGACAATAAAGCATTTATGCTCAAGGTGAAGCCACAGTCTGCTGGTACCACATGACTAGGGAACCCAATAGTGGAGTAGTGGAGGGACCTAGGTTCCAGAAAGAGAAGGGAGAAAACTTTCAGCCATACCCAGGGCTGGGGACTGACCAGAAAGGGGTGTAATGTTTCCCTGTCGGTCATCCCAAATAGAACTCCTCAACTCTGTAAGACCTCTCAACCCTGGTGGTGCACCAGTTAAGCTTGGCTGCTAACTGAAAGATTGGTGTTTCGAACTCATCCAGTGGCTCCGCAAGAGAAAGACCTGATGATCTGCTCCCATAAAGGTTACAGCCTAGAAAACTCTATGGGGTGGTTCTACTCCATCACATGGGGTCACTATGAGTCTAGATCGACTCAAAGCACCTAACAACAGCTGGCCTGGGGCAGGAAGCCCCTCCCCATCCAAACGCTGTAATTGGCTTGGCAACTATTCCCAGACCTGACATGCTACCACCTGTGCGTACCACCGTTGGAGGTAGGTGCTGTAACACCATGCAGTGCTCTAGTCTCCTGAAAGAATGAGTTTACCAAATTCTGTTCCTTGGCCCATCTGTGAAGAGTTGAGCATTCTCAGGGTCCTGGAAAACAAAAGTCCAGCTGGCCTCTGGTATCCACTGTAAATTTTATTTCTTTAGGGTTTTATCCCGACCAGTAGTTTAAAAACCAAGTAACACAGACCTAAGGGGTAAGGGCTGGGGACTGCACTTCCCTCCCACTCAGCGTGGACAGCAGTCGGGAAGAGAGGAGCAGGAGAGGCAGCTAAAGCGAGACAGCAGCAACAGTAACAGGAACAACGACATCCCAGAGCCAGCTCCCTCCTCTCCCCAGCCCTGGCTGGAGCCCCTATGGCTTAGGGTGGGGGGAGGTAGAACCCACCCCTGGCCTTCTCCCTCCCCTCCTCAGATAGCCTCCTTGGGGGCTCAATCCATTTCTTCAGGCAGGAGACTGAGGCACACGGAGAGGAGGAAGTGGGAGAGGAGGCCGCAGGAGAGGCAGGGCGGTGGCATGAATGAAGGCAGAGGTGAGAGGCGTGGGCGAAACCTCGGCTTGGAGGCCCCTGGACACTCTGCCCCCACGCCCACGCTGGGGAGGGGCGAGGAAGCCACACCAGCAGCACGGCGGGGAGACGAGGTGGGAATTAAGGCTGAGGGGCCTCATGACAGGCGGGGGCACAGGCCTCAGTCGAAGCCGTGCCAGTCGCTGTGCTCCGAGTCGTATTCCAGCTCAGCGCCCACACACTTGACACCGTCCAGCAGCATGGGTGTGCCGTGGTGCCGGTCTACGTGGCCCAGGAAGGGAGGCTGGTCACTGTGCTGTGCCCCTGGCCCCACCCATGCAACCCACTGGGGGGACCCCACCCCTTTCCTCAGGGCTCAGTTGGGGGGAACCCACCAAGGAGGTTTGGAACCAAGGGCCTGAGAAAGGATCCCTTTTTAGAACTGGGCTCCCCTGGAGGAGGGCAGAAGCCCCTCTCACCAAGCTTGCCTCTCCCTCCTGTAGCCAGACCCGCACCCCACCACCCCGGGTCTGCCAGGTACCCACTCTCACCCATGACGCGTGCCTGCACTGTCACGCGCACACAAGCGCCAGTGCCGCCCTCGCAGGCTAGGAGCATCTCCTCCTTGAGGACGCCCTCCTTGTGCGCTGAGTACTCACACTTGATGCTATAACCTACCCAGGGGTGGGGGCGGGTGATCAGCACCCCACAGCCCCCCACCCCTGCCACCAGCACTCACTGACCCCCACCCATCACCAAGACATGCCCGAACCTCCTTGAAAGGAGTAAGGATGGAAACTTGGGAGCCCAGAGAACACCCCTCCCCCAACAGGCCTGGGGAACTTTCCCTTCCTCGGTGGGTTCCATGTGGCTCCAAGGGTGAAGCCAACAAAACTTGGGCTTCCAGGAGGACCCGCTGCTTCCCCCTCACCCCTCAAAGGAAGGCAGGTAGTGGGGGTGATGGGGAGGAAGGCTGGGCTCTTGGGCAGACCTTGAGTGGATCAGGCAGCAGAGGCAAAGGCCTAAGGAGTCTTGCTCAATCTACTGAAGAACAAGGGCAAAACCACAAGGAGGGGGTGGGGTGTGAAACAGAAGCTGGGGCTGCTCTGGGTGGCATGCTGCCAAGCTGACACCTTAGCCTCTGCCAGATTGCAGCGGGGGGTGGGGTCCAGGGACCAAGGCCTGTAGAGTAGGGGGAAGCAGTGCCAAGCCAAAGGCCCAGGGCTGGCAGGCGTTAGGAGTTAGCCACTCAAAGTTCCTAAGGCTCCAGCAGGTGTTTCTTTAGGGGCAAGGCAGGAGGGTGGGCTGGAGGCCAATGCCAGCTCCTCGGTGCTCCCATCATCCCACTGAGGTAGACAGCACAGGAGGGACAGAGGCAGGCCTACAGTGTAAGCCTGGGACTTCTGTCCAGGGAGTGAGGTAGGCTGGGCATGGGACCTGGCAAGATGCCACACTGTGAGGCCACAAAGAGGCACCGTGTCCACTGCTGAGCTGTCCGTCAGCCCTAGATGGGGAGGAAGTGCCCTAGGTTCTCACTCCCACTCCCACCCGGCCCTGCGGGAGAAGGCAGGACTTTAGCAGCCCAGGGAGGGGTCGCACCTTCTGGGATGGGCATGACGCTGAGAAGCTTGAGGTGCAGGCTGGGGACAGGTGCCTCACGGACATCCTTGCTCAGCCTGCGCACTGGAGGCAGGGTGAAGGTAATCTCATACCTGTGCAGGATCTTCAGGAAGCCAACCTGCAGCAGGAGGGGCGGGGAGGGAGGCAATTACACTTGCTGCCTCCCCCAGGGCCCGCCCAGGTCATGTCACCAATGATCCTCGTGGGCCTGAAGACCTGCTTCCCTGGAGATCCTGAGGGAGCTACTCACTCCGTCACCCCAGCTGGCCCACACCCCCAGCCCGATGGCTCCAGGCCTGTTGACAGAACCCCTTTCCCCTGAGGGCCTCATCCCCACAGCTCAGCCAGCACACTCCTCAGCACCCACTTCTCACTGGCCCACAGCTCCTCAGTGGCCCATTTTATAGACGAAAAACTGGAAGCCAGGAAATGACTGGCTAGAGGCCACACAACACGACAGGGTAGAGTCCCTCTGGACCTCTTGGCCAATCCCACCTCTCATGGCACACAGCAAGGCACCAGCCATTGCCCAAAGTCCCATGACACATGTCATTCATCTGCCCCCCACATATACACCAGTGCCTGCCAGAGCCAACAGCCCAGGATCACGGACGCTGGTCCTCTAGTCACACATGTGGAGACACCAGGCAACAGAGGGATGAGATGGAATTAGAAAAACAAACACTAGACCAGCTGTTATCAGTCCAGAGCAGACCCACGGGCCTGGCACCAGCCATCAACCCAGGCTCCTGCCTACCCTGCTGGCACATGAACACAGATGCCTCCCCACCCACTCAAAGGCTCACTGTGCCCAACGGCCCCTACTCACGGCCCAAGTAATTTCTGTTGCTCATACACAGTGCTTAGCAAACGATGCCCTCTGGGGACAGATGCCATCCTTGGAAACTCCAGTCATGTGAAGGGTTACAAGCCAGGGTGGCTGCTGAGTGGGGAGGCTGAGCGGAGAGCCAGCCCACGAGCCATGGGGTGCACATGCTGCACTCCCAGCTCCCATGTGCACATACACTCCTGCTGACAGCTCAGGGGCTGGGACTGGCTGCCTGGAGCATTTAGCCTTCCAAGGGACCAGGCTGAGGTCACGGCATTATAAGTCTCAGTTCATGTGGCCCCCTCACACTCTGAGGGCACACCTCTCAGGAGGGCTTCCTGCTTGTACCTGCCAGCTGTGTCTACCCTGTAACCCAGCTATACCATTTGCACAATTTTCCTGGGGAAATACTCAGAGATGTGCCAACAAATACTCATCCTTGCCATATTTATAACAGAGAAAAACAAAAATAACTGCTAACACCCAAGAGTAGGAGACCAGCTAAATCAATGATGATACATCTAGTGGAATGCCAGGCAGTTGTAAAATCTCATGAAAAATTATTCACTGACACAGATAGGAGATGGTTCATAATAGAAGCAAACCAAACACAGCATAGACACCGTGAGACCAGTTTTTGGTTTTTTAAAGCATATACAAGTTCTATACAGGCATTGAAAAAAAAGCTGGAATGACACATATAAAAATAAGTCACAGTTATTTCTAGATAGCAGGATTGTGGGTACTTTTTAAATTTCTTTATATTTTTCTGTGTGTTCCAAATTTTCTCTAATAGACATGAATGGATTTTGCAATCAGGGGGGAAGCTATTTTTGTTTTTGGTTCATTCCATTTATTCCCTTGGGGAAGTTGTCGGCTGTAGGAGAAAGAGCAAGGATTTTAGAGTTCGGCAGAAATGGGTACAAACCTGGGCTCCTTTCCGAGCAGGGCAGCAAACCCCTCCTCAGGGCCGTCTTGATGGACAGATTTCCCCCCTCCCTCAAGGCACACTGCTCAACTCTGGGCCTGTGGTTTACTGACCAATCGGAGGGCTCGCTCCCCACTTAACTCCCAACCCATCCTTCCAGAGACTCCCTCCTGCCTCTTCCAAGTGGATGTAGAATCCAACAGTGTCCCAGAAGTTGGAGGAGCCACACTGGAGGATGTATGAGGTGTGGCCACTAGAAGTGATTGCGCCACCAAGCAGACAACTTAGGGGTGATAAATACTACCGCAAAGAGCCCACATCGGCCAGAGATTTGGCAAAGAGGGTGAATAAAGTCACACCTTGTTATCACCATAATTGTCAACAATAACCACACCTCACACACATATAGTCTTCCATTTCATCCTCACATCAACTCCACTTTACAGAAGAGGAAACAGACAACCTGCCTATGGCCACAGCATCAGAATGGCAGGCCTGGACCTGAACCCAGGCCTGGCGCACCACAGCCTGGATGTCCGCCTTCCATGGCTGCTGCCCAGATGATGCTGATGGAAACAGCTCTGCTCGCCTCGACTGCAGTAACATTCGAAATGTTCTCATCTCATTGAAACCTCACCACCCCCATTCTGCAGATAAGGAAACCAAGGCCCAAGGAGAGGCAAAGATGTGCCTATGAACCCAGTCTAGAGGAAACGGGACAGACAGGCCCAGGGGAACCAGGTCGATCTGGGAGGGGATGGAAGGAGTAGGGCTAACGATGGACGAAGTGTGCACGTACCTTGACAAGAAAGCTGCTGTCACTCTCCTGGGTGACCATGACCACCGAATCGTGCAGCTTCTCATCAAAGTGGACGTGGCTGTGGGAGCCTTCTGCATCATGGCCTGCCGCAAAGCGGATACTCCGGACTCTGGGCTTGTTGCCTAGGAGCATGGGAGAGGGCTCCAGGGGTTGCTGGCTTCACCTGTCCCCTGGAAAATACTCCCCCTCACCACCACCCCGACTGCCCTTGATATCACCCAGCACCCATTGGCTGGGCTCCTCTCAGGGCTAGGCTACCTCCCGACTGGGCCCTGGGGATCATGAGGTTTGACGCCCCCTACCTAAGCCCTATCTGCCAAGTCCTCCCAGAAAAAATTCCCACCAAGAGTGAGTGGGAGGAGGGGATTCAGGGATTGGTTAATATGACCCCTCACTTAGGAAGGATGAAGCTGAAGCCAGAGACTGGAAGGGACAGTCCCCTAGATTCCCACCAAACCCCAGGCATGCAGGACTTGGCCCCAGGCCTCTGGATCCCCAGACCAGTGCTCTCTGTCACAGTGCCAAGCTCCCCAGCACTGGGGCTTTCTCTCCCAGGTCTGTCAGTGCATGAGGCCCTGTCTGCCTCTCCTGATGACCCCAACCATGGGGACAAGGGAAGAAGCAGGACCATGTTCTATGGGATCTGCCCGAGGGTAAGAGAAACAAAGGGGGTCAAAACATGCACTCACCCACCAGGAGACTACAGATGTCACTACAGCACACCACTGATCACTAGCAGGTAAGAAGGAAGGACCCAGAGAAGCCTCCCAGACCCCTCTCCCAGGGAAGGCCCCTCCAAGATACCCTTCTGCTTAATTCCCCATCAAGCCCCTTGGATGCTCCTGAGATAGGTCAGCTTCTCCAAGGCCATGAAGGGCGGGGGATAGATGGGCAGAGTCCAGGGCTAAGGGCCTAAGCTGGATGGGGGGCTGGGCTGGGGCAGCCTTTCAGCCCTAGGCTTCCCAAGAGCCCTGCCCAGAGTCCTTTTGGTGGGAGGGCCTACGCCAACCTTGGCCTGGGTTCTTGGACCTAGGGGGGCCAGCCTGGCTCCAGGGAGGCCAGCCTGGCAGTTCTACAGTCTGCTGAGCCCCACAGACCTGACACTCAAGTCTTACTAAGTCTCCTCCGCCTAAACCCCTCCATTAGCCCTCTAGACTCTTGAATGACATCCAAACTGCCTTCCACAGCCTGCTGTGCCTGGCCCACCTTGTCAGCGTCAGCGCTCACCACGGACCCCCTTGTCCCCCACTCCCACAGTGGGACAGAGAGGCTGGAACACTGGGACACAAGGACACACACCTGCATAGGCCCATGCACCAAGGGGCCAGCAGGCATCCCCAGGGTTCCCTGCTAGGGCTTAGGTCAGCTCCAGGTGGGACCTGGCACAAACACTGGCACATTCAGACACACACACACAGCTGACACAGGCCCCACATGCAACAATGTCCCCTCCCACCAGGCCTGTTGGAAGCCCTCATGTAAGCTCCTGCCAGGCCAGAAGGTCACTCACTCTTGTTGGCTGCAGCCATGGACGCCCTCCCTGCCACAGGGCAAGACACGCAGCTCCTGCTGGACACCGCCACTCAAACTCAGCAGCCTCCCATGCTCCAGGGACACCAGCAGGGGCCTGAAAAATGAGGGGAGGGGAGGGCAGGGGTCAGGACCACCCATGGGCCCATAGCTGGGGGAAAGCACAGGGTGTCCCCTTAGGGAAGATCCAAGCCCCTGCTGCTCACAGCAGCCCACACCCTCTAGTACAGAGGGCCTCTGTCCCTCCCCCGACCCCACTCCTCCAACCCAGCCCCAGAATTCACCAAGAGCCCTCACCCCTGCCTGACACCCTAATGACCAGAACCTGTCAGCATGTGCTGAACGGCAGCTTCTGGGTGCCAAAGCACCAGCACAGGACTCCTGTGCCCTAGCCTGCCTGAGACTGGCAGGGCAGGCAACCTGCAAAGGAGGACACTTCACTGACACTTTCCAAGGGCCATTTCTGGCACTGATGACCCCAAGGGCTGGCCCAGCCCAGACACACAGGCTGTACAGTCCTGTAGCCAGAAGTCATGTCATTCAGGTCACACACCTAGTGCAGCTGGGCCCAGGTCAGAGTCAGGAAGGTTGGTGGGGATCACAAATGAGGGAGTGCACAAGATCCACCGTGTCCTTGGAGCTTTCCCTCCTGGCAATCAGGGCCATACACAGAACAGGCGTCTCAGTGCAGGGGCAGTGGGAGGGGCCCCGGGAGGCCTGTGAGCAGCCTGGGCTCCGATGGGCTGAGCTGGGACCATCTGAGCATCAAACAGAACAACAAGTGCAAATGACGGACACAGACGGAATACATGAAATCAGAGCATTCACAATGGTTATAAAAAAAGAAGAGAGAAAGCAAAACAAACAAACAAACCCAAAGCCTCATTTGTTACCACTGACGGTAGCAATGCCCTAATTCTCCACTCTGAAAACTGGCAATTAAAGAGAAATGATTCCGCGTGCCTCTTGGCCTTTCCTGTAACCAAATCGCCCTGGTGATCGAGGGAAAGTCCTTCTTTACAGAATTCTTGCTACTAAATGACAAAGGAATGACCTACTGCAAAGTCATTCTATAATCCCTAAAGAAACAAATGCTAGAGGCTGGGAATGCTAAACCACAGAGCTGAATGGTCAACAGCTGAGTCGATTCTCACAGATGAGCTGAGGTTCCTTAGGGGACTAACAAGTTTACAATGGAGGGATATGACATCACCCAGAAAGGCAGTGATCAATCTCAGCTTCACTTGCAGTGGGACAACCTGACACACTGATGCCTCCCGCTGTGGTGCAGCATGGAGTCACAGCATCACTGATAAGGTTCTCAGGCCAAAAATGTTTAAGCTCAGTCTAACGAAGCCTGTAACTCCAACGTCCTGTTTACCAGAAATATAGAGGCTAGTAGAACAAATTAAATGCATCCATGAGAAAGCAAAGCGACAAACCCAGAAGGCAGAATATTCTACAGGATAACGGACCTGATTTTTTTTTTTTTTCCCCAAATTGCAAGAATTAAAATAAGGGCGGGAGAGGTTTGTTCAAGAAAGGCAACTGGCAAACTTCGGTCTGTAGGTCTACCGCCTGTTGTTTCTTTTTAATAAAACTTTATTGGAAAACAGTCACATTCATTTGTTCACATATTGTCTGTGGCTGCTTTTGTGCTAAAGCAAAACTACTTTGAGTAGTTGCAACAGAGACCATGTAGCCTATAAAGCCTGAAATATTCACTATCTGGCCTTTCACAGAAATTTGGCAACCCTAGTTCTAGATTAACACATTTAGGAGACCAAGAAGACAGGTTATTTTACAGGACAACTGACCTGTTTTTTCCACCACATCAATTGCAAGAATATTAATAAATGGAAGACAGAGGTTCTGACAAACTACTTATAAAAAAAGACATTTGAAGGATAATCAGGAAATGTGAACAAGACTAGATATTGGATAATATTAGGAAGTAAGAGTTGATTTTATTAGTTGAGATAATAGAATTGTTATTATGTAGGAAAATATACCCTTATCTTTCAGAGATACAGACTGAAGTATTTGGAGATGCGTGGTCTCACCTCTCTCCCCATTTCCTAATGCCAGAGTTGCCTACCAGGCTCAAGCTCTGCCTCGTGGACAGGGCAAAGGGCTTCCGTAGCAGGAGCCCCTTAGCAGGAAGAGGCCCAAGGAGGTGCAAGGAAGGCCAATCAGCCAGGGCAGGAACAGCCCCAGGCCAGCACCCTCCCCTTAGGGGCTAGCTCCCAGGCCTCAGTCCAGGGTGCAAGCAACGGAAGTCCACCTCCACTCACCTCCAGGGTCAGTCCACAAAAGGACAGCCCTGGAATGTTGGGCTTGTCCCCAGGAAGCCTGGCCCTTGGAGAGCAGCTGCCACTCTCACCTCACCTGCTCCGGCCACCTCCTGAAGCTGTGGACTCAGCATGTGACAAATGGCCAAGCACAGGGGCTCCAAGCCCTTGTAGAGAGGCCATTCTAGCCACATCCCTCCAGCCATAGGGGAGACACAACCCAATGTTCACAAGACCCCCTATCACCCAGGACACTTCCTGGGCGAAACTCTTAACCAGCAGCTGCTGAACAAAGGCTCCCGGGGTTTCGTTTCATAAAACACTCTGACCCTGCACATGCAGGGCCCTGCTCTGTCTTTCCCCTCAACCCCACTGCTCTTAGAGACCAAAATTCAAGCCCTGGCCTGCCTTTGCCCAGACCATCAGGCCATCCCCTCTGCCAGTAACAATCCTGCCTCCCACCCAGGCCTCAACCCCAACATCACTTTTCTAGGGAAGCTCCTTCAACCCAGGATAAGCCTGACTCTTTAAAGGATCCGCCTCCTCACTTCTAAGATCATATGATACTATTTTCTCCAGCTTACAAGAGTAGAGACTGTGTTTTTGCCAAACCCTGTGTGCCCGGCACCCAGTGCATGCCTAGAAAGGAGCAGCTGTGTCTAGTAAAATGTGATGAATGAATAGCCAAATAAGGGGAGCAGCCTTGGCCTGGCCTGCAGCCAGATGTGGCATGGTCAGATGAGACCCTCTGGAAGAGGAACCCCCGTCCCACTCTCTCAGTCAACCCTGCCCTTGAGGGCACTCTTCGTGCTGTCCTCAGTGTCATCCCCCACTGGACATCCTTCTGGCCTTGCTACAGAGCCTGAGAGCCCACTAAAGGCACGACCAGCATCTCATGCAGAGCACCCAGCACTCGGTATGGAGCAAGCACTCAGGAACTGCCTGTAACCCTCGTAGTGAGAAGCCGGGGCGGGGGCGGGGGGGCGGCAACAGAATTCAGGAGCCTAAAACGAGAAATACCAAACCAGTTGCCTTCTAGTCAATTCTGACTCATGGAAACTCATGAAGAACTGTGCTCCGTGGGGTTTTCAGGACTATGACCTTTCAGAAGCAGATCACCAGGCCTTTCCTTCGAGGCACCTCTGGGTAGGTTCAAACCGAGAACCTGTCCGTTAGTAGTCAAGAATTTAACCATTTGTACCACCCAGGGACTCCAGAAGGCTAGAAAACCAAACCTCCTTTTGCAGCAAAGGGACTTGCCAATCATTGGCCCCTTGTCCACACACAGCTCTTCATCAGAAGCTGGAAAAGAAGGAGTGGACGTCTCCCTGCTGCAGTCTTGTCCAGGTAACCACTAGGTCCCAAGCAACCCGAAGCCTGGACCTGCCTCCGGCCTCCTCCTGTGCCAGCCAAATCCTCAGCTTGACCCAAGTCACGCAGTCCCTCCCCACCTCCACCCCCAGGTAACAGGGAGATGATCAGGAGCATGGGCTCCAGAGCCCAGCAGTCTTGGTTCAAATTCAGACTCTGCCCCTTGCTGGCTGCATGACTGGGGGCAAATTCCTTCACTTTTCTGTACCTGTTTCCTCATCTGTAACACAGGAGTAAGCAGCGGCCTCTTCCTCACAGGGCTTGGAGAACACTAACACATAGGGCGCGGCAAATAGAGCTGGTACCTGAAACTCTATAACAACACACACCCCCAGCTCATCCGCCCACCTCTGCAAAAGCAAAGCCCCAAAGGCCTGGTTTCTGAAGCAACAGCAATTTCAGGGAGGCACTGGCAGAGGTGCTTCAGGCAGTTCCTGGAACAGCCGGGAAGGGCCCGCAGGGTAGGCTCCAGGGACTTCAGCCTTCTCAGAAAACAGCCCAAGGGTTGAGAAGACCTCCCTCCTCCTTCTCTCCTCCTGCCCTCCCCACTCCTGGCCAACCAGGCCCCCAGCAAGGGCCAGAGAGAAGGTTCCTCCCAACCAGAGGGGATCCACGTATCATCCAGGCTCCCCACCCTCTGCCCTGATCACAAGGAAGACGTGGAGAATGTGCATCCTGGGAAATGCCACCGGGAAGGAATATAATGCCACCTTCAAAAAAAACAAAGCAAAACATGACAACCACCCCCTCCTTTGATGGGCTGTCAACAGGTCAAGGGTGGGACCCCTAAACAGTCACAGGATAGGGAGGGCTGGAAAGTTGGGACAAGGGCCTTAAGGGCTTCTTTTGCTCTCAGTTGCTCTCAGGGAAAATGGGGGAACTTTCTCTGGAGGACAGAGAGCTTTAGAAAAGAAAGGCTGCTTCCAGGCTACACAGCCCAGGCAGGGCTCAGCCAGGCCCAGTGGAGCCTCTGGCCTAAGAAACAGGCCCAGGGGCATGGCAAGTGGGCAGATAGATGAATGGTCACACAGGAACCTAGAGTTCTCAGCACCCTAGACGCTAGCCCTGGAGGGCGCTAGCTGCTACTCCAGGCTGTCCCAATCTGGAGCCCAAGGCTGCAGATTGGAGGAAGGGCTAAAGCCACAACAGTCTATCCACAACAAAGCAGTGCTCCAGAATCTGCCACCCATCCCTGTAGCTGTACTCCCCACACCACCTCTCTGCCCCAGAGGCAGCTCCCAAACCAAGGCATCACAGGGCCAGCCCAGATTGCCCTCCCCCCTGTTGTGTGGTTGGGGCATGCCCCCAACTTCTCAAGGTCTTGTTCCTCATTCATTCCTCAATCCCCATTCTCAACCTGTTCCAAGGACTTTGGGCTAGGAACTCTATAACCTTCCACCCTCCCCACCCCCCACCCCCCAGCCTCAAGCACTCAGTCCAGCAGAAGCTCCATCCAGCCTCACATTAAATCTCAGGCCTGTAAAAGGAACACTGCCCACTGAGGCCTTGAGACATGGTCACAGTGACCACCTGACTCCCAGGACCTGATATCAGACTGGGCACATAACTGGGGCCCTGCATACCTAGAACAAGGCCTGGAAAACCAAGGCTGGAGGTCAGGTGTGGCTGTGGAGGCTTCACATCAACTCAGTCTTGATGCGACCCCATTTCCCCTTCCCTCCAGTCAGGCCAAGGGTGCAAGGATAAGTATGGGTGTTCTGTCTCTCACTAAAGGTGGGGTGCGGGGGGGGGGGCTTGAACTGGGGAAGGGATCTCGCCACCCCACACCCTCCTGTCTTCCTGAGAAGTGCTGCCCTCCTCTGTCCAGCATGTCCTCCATCTCCTCATACACACAACCTCAGCTAGAGGGTGATTAGACTCCTCTAGCCTCCAGACTGCCTGCCCCACCCAGGCCCTTCCCTAGGCCTGTGACCCTGTGGCCCCAAGAAGTAGAGGCCAGGCCAGGGGGTAGGGGGGAACTGCTGCCTCTGACCTTCCTCATCCCCTGGGGCAGAGAAACGCCCTAACCCCACTCCCCAATGCCAAGATTCAAGAGGAAAGGAACCTGAAGCCTCTCCTCGGTCCAGCAGAACCCCTGCTCACTAACTGTAACACAGCTCCAGAACCTAAATCGAATCCCTCCTGCTGCATGACACAGGGGAGGTGGCCGCCAAGCCCGCAGTGGCACCAGGAGCCTGGACGTAGGACCCTGTATCCTCTCCTCTCCCGCCGCCATCCCGGTGGGTGTGGCGCTCCCATTCAGCCCCATTCTCATCTTCTCGGAGACGGACGCGGCTGGACGTCCCCTCATTACACCCCTGCGAGGCAGCAGCTCTGTCCCTCAGAGATAATCCTGGACGCTCCCCACCTTCACCTCGCCTGACGCAGGAGTCTCGGGAGCTCGCACTCCCCGACAACACCGCCCCCCTCCTTAGGGGTGCCGAGACCCTGGAGGCTCAAGGCGCAGAGGGGCTACTCGTCCAAGGTCACTCAGAGAGACGGTGGCAATGGCAGGGGGGGGTGTCGATGCTGACCCCATTACGCCCCTGCCCTCACTGTGACACACTTGACCCCCGACAGCGCCCCGCGGAGAACACCCCTGCCCCACCAACTAACCCACGTCTCCAGGTCCCGCCATCTCCCCACCTCAGGGGCCGGGGAAGCTCTCCAGAGTCTAGCCCCCACAACGGAGCCCCCCTACCCCAGTCCTTCCCCAGTCCTTCCCCCACGGCCGATGGAGTCCCAGTACCTACTGCCTGGGACGGGGCCGGGACCGGGAGGGGATCTCGGCGAGCGAGGCGGAACCTGCAGGCGGCTGAGGAGGGTCAGTCTCACCGAGTGGGGCGCACCCCGGGGCTCGGCTGGGCAAGGACGACGGCGGCGGCGGCGGCGACCGCCCAACACAGAGCTGGAGCAGGCAGGCTGGCGCCGCTCCTCCTGCCTCACCGGCACGCCTCCTCCTCAGCCCATTGGTGGGCCCGAGGGGGTGGGGCGAGAGCCTCTGCCGACCAATAAGCAGGCGCCAGAGAACCGCCAACAGGCGATATACTGCCAGAGTGACTTGCAGGGGGCCCCGCGGCTGCGCTATGCGAGTCCGAGCCAACCAGAGCTCGGAGAATTCTCGCGATGAAGACAGCCGGGCTGTCTTGACTTGGCCTGGGGCCAGGAGCGGCAGAGGAAAGGAGGGAGGAGCGTCTCGGGTATGCCCCGCCCCCGTCCCCACCTACGGCGGTGGAGTTTGCACCTCCTGCCTTGGCCTCAACTTGGGGGTTGCCCTCTATGGACACTGTACCCTCGGGCGGCAGTCAGGCAAAGCTTGGGCGGAAATGTTAGGCTCAGAGGAACGTCGCCTTTCTCCCTAGGCTCCCACGCCCTCATCGGCAATTGATGCCGACATCACTAGGTCCTGTCCAAGCCCTAAGGAACCCTCCATTCTTCCCCGTGACGCTTGGCTTCGTCCGCCTCCACCCCATACCCCTGCCTTGGAGGAAGCGCTCCCGCGCGGACCTGACACACGTCCTCGGAGCCCGGCCGGGCCCGGAATAAGCGTTAGAACAAAGAAAGCACGCGGGGTGGGAGTTGGGAGAGACTGTGCGGGCGCCCCCGGGGACCGCAGCCTCTGCTCTCAATTTCCATGGAGGCAGTCGCCATGGCAGCGGGATGCTCCTTGCTCAGCTCCGCGAGGTGAGATGTGGGCGCCTCCACCGGGCGAGGGAGCGAGAGGCGTGGTTCTCGGGTCTTCAAGGGTCCCAACAGCAGCTCTGCCCGGCCATCCGTGAGCCCACCCCTCCACCCCGCCCTCCGGTTACGCCTGCAGTGGACAGGTTCCCAAGTGCTAGTCGGGAGCCGCGCAGAGCACGGGGCTCCCCCCCTTCCAACGTGACTAGGGGAGAGATGGCGTGGGCGGCTGCGGGCCAACTTCCTCTCAGTAGGGCCGGGATTGCCGCCTTTGGGGAGCCCTCAAGGCTTCCACCCTCTGGATCTCTGGATTGCTGCGGCCTCTAACCTACATCCTGATCTCCTGCCTGCACACTGTTGTCAAATTAATTTTCCTGAGCTATTGTTTCCACCATCACCCTCCCCGGCTCCAAAGAGCCCACCGACTGCCTCTAGCAGAGCTTTACAAACTTTTTAGCAGCATCTTGGGTGAATGGTGCGCACTCTGGCGTTGAGATGCAGTCCTCCAGCGCCAACATTGGGAGCTTTCCACGTTCTGATCCCAGCTGACCTACTCCTGCCATATGCTTTCTGACTCTTACACCCCTGTCCCATGGGCTCCACTGTGCGCCCCGGTTGTATTCCCATGTCTATTCTTTTATTCAAGGTCTAAAGGTGGTAGACAGTAGGCCCAAAGTAGCCTGCAGATTTTGTTCAGCCTACACGGAGCTTTTTTTTTTTTTTTTTTGGAATCCAGATTTCTAGGCTTCTTTTGAAATATCAGATCTAGCAACATAGATTCACATTCCATCCTTGCCCCAAAGTCTGGCCCTGAGTGGTAGCTGCCCCTTTAGGGGCAATTCCAGTTTATTACAGAGCCATACCAATTGCACACAGAGTCTAATCCGGCTTGTGGCGACCCCATGTGTGTCAGAGTAGAACTGTGCTCCAGAGGGTTTTTAATGGCTGCGACCTTTCAGAAACAGATCACGCGCCTTTCTTTTGAGGCACCTCTGAGTGGGTTTGAACTGCCAACCTTTTGGTTAATAACCTAGCTCTTAACAGTTTGTACCATCTAGGGACCCCCAATTTACTGTAGTCTCTACCAATCCCTGTTTTCTCACGTTTGTTTCACTTTCCAGGTTTGTGCAGACATTTGACTTCATGATCACCTCCTCCTCCTTTTACTACCCTCCAGCCTGAAATGCCCTTCCCTCTCTCCTTTCATACACAAAACTCACCCTTCCTTCAAACCCAGGTTAAGGCCTACATTTTTTAATAGTCTTTCTAACCAATTTCTCCTCACAACCATCTTTGGTGTAGGCTATCTTAAACACACAGACTAGCGGCCTGGGGCTGTTTCCTGATTGTCAATTCCTTTCGACAAATATTTACTGAGTGTGTACGGTAAGCAAGTTACTGTACTAGGCTCTGTGGGGTTGAAGGCACTCACAGCTTAGTGTGGGAGGCACACCCCACAAAAAGAGCTGTAGTATTCTGGCCCTGCCAAACACTCTTCACTGCTCCTAGGTGCCAGGCAGTCTGGCTGACTGGTCAACTGGGAGAACCTGCAACACTGAGCTGCCCATGCCTGGGGATATTACAGGCTCCCGGGGAAGGCCCCAGAGCCACAGTGGGTACAGATAGTTCTGGAAAGTCTCCAGAGGAAGAAGGAAAAGGAAGGAAATGACCTCTTTGTGCAGGGTCTAAGGTACATGGTTGCCCCATTGCTGCCCAATGGGCCTGTGTACCCAGAAGAGGGTGTGTCAGCATCAAAGTGGTGCTGAGGCCCTGAGACTTCCTGTGCAAAGGGCCTTACTGGAGGGAAGGCCTAGGCCTCTGCCAGGCTTCCTGGAGATGGGGGTAGTATGGCAAGGAATTAGAAGCACTCCGGGTTAGGAGAGTAAATTGAGCACATATAGAACACCTGCCCAAGCTCCAAACACATGGTATTCTGGATTCTATTACTTTTAATAGTAATAAATAACTATGACCCCTTTGGAAAACTGTTTGGCAGTGCTTAATAAAGCTAATAAATACCAATCCCAGCAATTCCACTCTTAAGTATATAGCAAGACACATGTATACAAATATTCAAGGCAGCACTATTGTAATAGCACTAAACTGGAAATCACCCAAATATCCATCAACAACAGAAAATAAATAAATTGTGCTATATTCATACATGGAGCCCTGGTGGCGCAGTGGTTAAGAGCTTGGCTGCTAACCAAAATGTCAGCAGTTTGAATCCACCAGCTGCTCCTTGGAAACTCTGTGGGGCAGTTCTATTCTGCCCGATAGGGTCCCTATGAGTCGGAATCAACTTGACAGTAATGTTTTGTTTTGTTTTGTTTTTTATTCATACAATAGTGTTGTTACAGATTGAATTGTGTTCCCCCAAAATATATTTTGGAATCCTAACCCCTATACCTGTGGATGTAATCCCATTTGGGAATAGAGTTTTCTTTGTTATGTTCAGGAGGCCATATGAGTGAGAGTGTGTCTTAAGCCTAACCACTTTTAAGACATAAAAAGATCAAATAAGGCACAGAGAAGCAAGCACAAATGGAGGGGAAGATAGATGTCACATGGAGATTGCCAAGAAAGCAAGGAATGCAGGGGCTGCAGAAATGGAAAGAGATATTCCCTCAGAGACAACAGAAAGCCTTCCCCTAGAGTCAGTGTCCTGTTCAGACTTCAAGCCTCCTAAACTGTAAGAAAATACATTTCTGTTAATTAATCCACCCACTTGTGATATTTCTGTTATGGTAAAAAAAATCTGAAACCAAACCCATTGCTGTCAAGTTGATTCTGACTCATAGCGACCCTACAGGACAGGGTAGAACTGCTCCCTAGAGTTTCCAAGGAGCACCTGGTGGATTCGAACTGCTGACCTTTTGGTTAGCAGCCGTAGCTCTTAGGATTTCTGTTACAGTAGCACTAGCAAACTAAGACAGGTATATTATACAACAGTGACAAATAACAACCTACTGAATACATGCAACAACATAGATGACTTTCAAAGACATAATATTGAGCGAAAAAGCCTGACACACAGCCTGGGAGTGGACAGCCCCGTAAAACCAAATGAGACTAACGTACAGTAGTCCAGTGACAAGGGCCAGAAAGCAGAAGGGGACAAGGAAGCTGGTGATAGGGAACCCAAGGTTGAGTAAGGATATTGTTGATGTGT